TGACTTTGTATGATTACTGTATGTGGAGGTCTACTACACATGCTCTCAGTGTTTACAGTGGAAGAAGTACAGCACATGTGTGAGAATTAATGTTGGTATTAGTGATTGACTTGAAATAAATGAGGGATTACATTAGGGGGGGGTTATGTTTACCTGGGCATTTTAATGTCAATATTGTACAGTATATGGATCAAGCTATATGAGAATATGTGAGAATGAACAATTGCAGAATTTAACTTAAAAAAAAAAAAAAAAAAAAAAAAATCGTTACAGAAGGTCCTCGTTATAAGAGTGTTTTCAGTTAAGTGGTCAACTTTTTGTGGCCATCCACATAAAAAGACCCAGCATTTAAGTGGATTCCACTCAAAAACAAAAAACTTCCGATAAAATCTACGAATTTTTAGCTGAAGCGTTTGAAACTTGATCCTCTTCCTGGCGTCATGCATGCACACCCGTGCCTCTCTCCCGCTATGTGTCATCCAGACCGGTGCTGTGTTGTGTTGTGTTAACTCCTGCCTTTGTTGTGTCTTTTAGTGCATATTGTGGTGAATTATTTTATCACTTTTGTAGCCATGAGTTACCAACCCAAACAGAGTGGTGTAGCACTCAAAAGGAAGCACGCGAACTATAGTATAGATGTAAAATTAGAAGTGATTAGGGGAAAGAAGAGTGGGAGTGGACAATCCACCTAGCCTGTTTCTTTTTCATCCTCTGACTAATCTTCCTCTCCCAACTCCCACCTCTATCAATCCAATCAAACCAAACATCTCTGTTTGAAGCTCAGAAAATAAAAAAATTTATTATGTTATTATATATTTTAAAATTTTTAAAACATTATAATAAGAATTTTGTCTCAATGAATCACTGGAGTGAGTGTACACCAGCTGGCACAACTTACATTACCTCAACACAATGAACTTTAAGGACGTTAAATAACTTATAAAGTTAAATAATTTCTTAAAATAATGTTATCAAGTGATTAACAAATGTTTCTAAGGTAAATAATTGTTAAAAGGTATCACTTAATTTTTTTTTTGAGTGTCGTGTACAATGTCATGGTCCTAAATTTAACTACTTCCATTATTTCTTATAGGATTAAGTCGCAGCTTTAAGTGGATTCATTAATTATCAGAGGCATTTTTCCGGTCCCAATTAACCACAGGTAACGAGGACCCCCTGTACACCTATTGTATATAAATGATAAATTAGCAATGCTTGCTGAACTTTGGGATACTATGAAGAAAATTGTACAGTACTATATTCTGATTAAGTTTGTTAAAGATGAATGCTGGAATACTAAAGTTATGGTGTTTCAAAGGGAGAGGAACTCTTAGAAGAGGTAAATGGCTCAAAGTACATTCTGGTGAGATGAGTGTTTGAAGTGCACAGTAGATGAGATATTAATCTAAACTTATGACAGCAAAGCTGGAGTTACAAGTGAAAGACTGACAAAGAGATGAACAGACTATATATACCTGTATATAAGCAAATTCATGAGGCCAAGAAGTGTAATGTTAGATAATACAAGAAGAGAGATGATGGATTGAGTGGAGTAGAATTGTTTCCCATGTGATAGTGTTTGGATACATACACCTGACAACTCCTCCTTGTATGCATTACGAATCACCATGAAGTGTTATGATCAAAATGGATTTTACGGATTTATAATGCTTGCAGTCCTCTTGTGCTGCTTTCCACCGAGTGTACCAGCCTGAGAGATAGGGTATCCTTGGCCAAGGTTGTGTTGTGAGTGCTGTTGGTTCATCTTTGGTGAACAATCTTTATCAAGTTTTTGTACATAAAATTCATCCCAAAGACCCTCTTAACTAGATGTGTTTACTCTTTACCAGTTAACAGTCTCGTTACAGAAGATCACATATGTCACAGTTTCTCCTCTGGCTGTTGATTGTAGATAAGGTGCCACTTTGCATGAGATGGCAGCATGATGAATAATGACCTCCTCAGGGGATGTATGGGTAAAGGATATTGGACATAATGGATGAGTTGTCAATAAGTGTTTTTTTCACTCATTACTCCCTTAGCTACAATGACCCCAAACAGAAAAACTCAGGGCTATAGTCAGGAGGCTGGGTAAGGGTTACAAACAAGTTAGAACACCCCAAATGTTAAAATGGTGTCAATCCTCTCTTGCTACCGTCGGGGAATGTGTAAATGAACTCGACAAAATGCATAGGAAACATATGTCAACAACCTGAACCAACACACCCCCCTCAGCAAAGCCTGTAAAGATCCAAACACAATCAAAGCTAATAACAATGTGGGCTCATGTCTCTAGCTATGACATGCTACCAATTAGGATTCGAGAACTCCTTGATACGAAGTCTGTATTGAGAAGTAATCTCTAACTTTATGCTGGGCAAACAACATGATGAGTGTGATGTTCCATATACTGAGTGAGAGCTTGATGCTGCCCTCGCCAGGGGTAGATCCACTGCCCCTGGTGAGGATGGTGTCACCTGCAATATCGTTAAACTATTAAGGCGTGTGCCAAGGGCCAACTACCCACATCATGGGCCAACAGTATTGTTGTACCAATACCGAAACCAGGACAGAGAACATATGTCCTCGAACATAAATGGCTTCACTTGGTAAAGGTGTACATAATTGCATCACTACACTTAACTGTACATGGTGATGAAAGACACAGATGCACCACATTTCTTGACCTAAAAGCTGCATTTGATATTGCCAATAGGCAACTTATATTGTATGAACTAGTGAAAATAGATATAGGAGGTCGGCTGTTACACTGGATAAGTGGTTACCTCACTAACAGAAGGGCTGCTGCACTGTTTCATGGTTACAAAAGTGAAGTTAAAGATATGGCACACCCCTCCCCCAAGGTGGAGTACTTAGTCCCACTTTGTTCAATGTTTTTATGAATACATTATTAAATTTAACACTAGACAACCCCAGCAATATCAACTATGCTGATGATATTCTTGTACATACTAAAACTCAACATAAAATGCAAACCACCCTGAACCGTGTCCACGCAGCCTGTGAGAACCTCGGTCATATTGCCTCCACTGAGAAAACTAAGGTGTTCAACAAACAAGCTGGTAACCGCAAATACAGCCCCGCCAAGTTCAAGATAGGGAACAACATTATTGACTATCACTCTTCTTTTAAATACCTTGGTGTTTCCATTCCTTGTACCTGCCCTGCCATACAACAGCTAACCCACCAATGTACTGACAGAATGAATCCTCTTAGAAGTGTAGCCGGGTACAGCCCACATTATGGTGCTGATATTAGAATTGTTAAAACAATGTACCTAGGCTATATAAGATCTCTGATAGATTACCACACACCAGCCCTGGTCCTTCATGATGGGAAAGGCAATGACCAGCTTAAAAAAATGCAAAATAAAGCCCTCAGAATTATCCTAGGCTGTACCATGAGCATTAAAGTACTGAATATGAGGAAAGAAATAGGTATACCCAGTGTCAAAGATAGAATAATTGAAGTCAACCTCATGATAGCCCTGAGACTTTTGCGTGGTGATCCTGATAACAATGTTTCCTTAAAATTGCTAAAATGTATGAACCATAGGACTGGTGAATCTAAATGGATCCAAACTGCAGCAACACATATGAAGATGTTTGGACTAGACCACCTGTACAAAGTTGAGACACAACAGCGCTTCCTGCCACCCTGGCGGACAGTTCCCTCTGATATCACAATACCAACATATCCGCCTAAACGATTAATTATACAAAGTATTTGTCTCCAACACACTACCATAAGGAGAGCTCTTGAACACATACACATCCTACAGACTGATAACATCACACAGACCATCTACACTGATGGATCTCTTAACACCGCCTGTGGGAGGGCTGGAAGTGACTCAACCTAATGGTAATACAATTGAGAAAGGAGTTAGAATTAACAGCTGGACATCCAATCTACTAACTGCATTAGTTGCCATACTCACAGCCATTAAATCTATTGAAACCACTGTCACTGACAGTCTCATAATCACTGACTCTCTATCCTCACTACTTGCCCTTGACACCCTCAACTCAAGTTGTCACGCGCTTGTTTCTGAAGCCAGACACGAATATGCGTACCATGTTGACCGGGGTGTCAAGATCAAACTGTTGTGGATTTCCTCTCACATAGGCCTCAAAGAACATGACAGAGTTGATGCCCTCGCCAAACTCGTCAAACAAAGACACTGTTGAATACAATCTGGGTCTGTCAAAAAGAACCCTTAAAACTGTAATTAGGAATGAACTTATTGATGAAATTGACGCATGCAGACAAATGCAAACAGGCACTAGTCGATCAATTGTTTACCATGATGAGATGTATCAAGTGAAACATGTATATGGAGCAAGTAACAAGATCACTAGATTACAAGATGCTGTAACCGCTAGACTAAGGTTAGGATATAAGTACCTCTGGCACTATGCCCCTTGACTGTGTGAAGATGGAACCTTTTAAGGACAGGTCCAAGCACACTGTGTGTGATATGGCACAACACTTTATCACTAATGGCAAGATAGCTGACATATTAAGAGGGCATCCACTTTTTTGCACTTAGTAGCTATATCAGTTCACATGTATAGAACCAAACACACAATGGGCTTGAATACCTCTCACACAAATGTCAATAACAAAGTGAGCGGCCAGACATACTGCCTCACACTCCTGTACTCACGCAGTTGTTAATAAGCTGCCCTTTATGTACATAACTAAACAAAAATTATTTGAAATGCTGTGTGACATTCAATGCCATAATATCCTGACCACTGGGGTTAGTTATACAGACCCATTGTGAACTCTACTCTGTAATCCTTTTGTGCTACCGCTCACAGGATGAGTATGGGGGTGCACAATAAACTAGTTGCTGTAAGTGGCTAAATTAAAAATAATTACAAATTAAATCAGGTTGGCAGTGGACGCACCATGTGGCTGGTACACCTGCCTTAGTATGTTACATTAAAACATTTTATAGCACAGGGTAGTTCATTTTTAAATAATGTACAGTACTTAAAATAAAATGTGTTAGTTAAAATATTAATTTAATATTGCTAAAATTTGAGATGGGGAGATGTGGTCAAGTGTTCACAGTCGTAACATCCAAAGGGTGAAACATCCATCCACACCTTGATGACTGGAGCTGCTGATCTCACTGGCCAGCCAAAGCCTACTATAATCTTAGCCCCCCCCCCCCCCTTAATATAAAAATACATTCCCTAATTAGTGTGTGGTGATACAGCCAACTGTGATACTAATGACTGCAATATATCAAGGGTTTATTATATCCTAACATAGCAGGAGCAAGACCATGGAAAGAGTAATTGCTAAAAGAGCATACCTGAGAGAAATGAATGGTAAGAGGTACAGTACATACAGATATCAAAGGTAACATGACACAACTGGGTAAGGGATTGTGTGAGAAATGGGTGTCTTTCAGGGACAAATTTGTGAGTTCTACTTGAGTTTCCCTCTAAGCCAAACACAGATATTCATTAGATCATTTCTCTGTACACATATACCTGATGAATCATTTCTCATCAAAAATATAAGCAGTACTGCCATAGTCTGGAAAAGTTGAACATGTGGAAATAATTAACAGGCAAGATGTTGTGAACTGATCTTGCAAGCAGTATTATATCACAGTATGAGTGTGGGAAAAGTGTACAGTATAAGTTTTGTAAAGCTTATGTACAGTATTGTTTGTGAAACTGAAAACATCCCTGAATTAATTAAACATGAAGTTGTTATCAACATACAGTATGTTCACAAACAATGTTTTTACCAGTTATAGTTTCACATTTCTGACATTCAACATGTCCCAAGAAATTGTCTGGACAACATTGACAATAGAATATAAAGGTGACCTCTTAAGTCTTAAATAAGATAACTAGTTAAGTTATGCAACAAATACCTATTATTTCACATCAGAATGAACATACTGTATATCAGCATTACAAGTACAAGTATATTTTCTTCTCTTACAGGGTATAAACTCTCTTGAGATATCATTCTTCACAAAATGGAAGAACATCATACTGGAAAATGTTAAAAAAAAAAAACTGTTGAATAAAAACAGTGGTAATAAAGCTGTCTCAACTTCCAGAGATAATGACATGAACAAAATCCCATCAATTCTGGTTATATTTTGGAAGCAACAGGATTTAGCAATAATACAGTACTATAGTATATATATACTGTATGTAGTATATATATTGTATATATATACTTAAGGCTAAATAATAAGAAAAAACAAAATCATAACTAAGTTTCAATAGTCCAGTACAATAATAAATGGTGAAGTGTTAACTTGTGCAGCAGAATATACCAGAAACAGCCAAGACTAGTACTGAACTACTGTACTACAAACTAAAGAATATTTATGATGAGATTGAAGTACAGTACTGTATATGAGAATAATAACTGATGTTAGACAGCATGGATGGTGACTTAGTGTCTTGCTGGAGTGTTCCTCTATGTTGGAGTCTGTCTGTAATGCCAAACAATATTTAGTTGTAGTTCTAGAAAGTTTTTATGTACAGTATTGTCTTAATTTTTATAAGAAATAAATAAATAAACAGATAGAAAGATATTTCTTCAGTAGAACTGTCATATGAGCGTGGAAGCATTTACAAGAACACCCTGAATGATGAATGTTTGAGTTATGACACTTTGGTATTATGAACAAGCTTTCCAGAACCTGAACGGCTGTTGACAAACACACTCTTGGATTTACAAATAAAATACGAGAGTTTTCACGGAACACGTTCGCTGGCAGACAACTACTGTACACCTGAGCCTCGCTTTATGCTGTGGCTGCATTCTGCGACAACACAGCATAATAGGAATCCGCATATAGTATAGTGAATACTTAATCTTAGGGTAAAATTAGGATATGTTCCACAGCTACTAAAAGTCAACAGTAATGCTATAAAAGTTGTGGAAAAATCATTAAAATACTCTAATATGGCTTAGAAATAGAGATAATATAATATAAAATTAGTGCACCATATCTTCTACAGAATGCATAATAGGGAATCTTTTGTGCATAAAATGAATTATGGGTGGAAATAGGGTCATCGCATAAACGTGAATTCACATACTGTACATTGAATGCACATAAAGTGCGGCTTCAGTGTACTTCTATCCTCCACTTGGCTGGGAGGTGTTTCAGTGTGCTTGGGTTTGTAGCATCAGTTGCCTTGTTCAACGCCCTTTTCTAAGCCTGTAAGACTGTTCAATTTAGGTTTTTCCTCACTTTTTAGCACCTTTTCTTAACCCCAAACATGGCTGATAAGGGAATAAACATTTCTTATAATACTCAGGAATCACGGGAAGGGTAGTGCCACGGGGTGAATGCATAGTGTCAGTATCTCAGCCTCCCGAGCTGTGTTATTGTTATTTTTCAACTCATATTTTGGGGAAGATATATATATTTGTTTTATTTTTTACTCTGTTACATGCACACACAATCGTTTTTATAGAACATGCAAAGAAAATAATAAAAATATTACAATAAGGTCAAAAATATAAAGGGGTTAAGCATTTATTACATGTGTGGGAGCTAGCACAACAGAGTAGTGTTCTCTCAATGCTGTGTTGTCTCGTGCTAGTGACAAAATTACTCATAAGAGTCCCGGCCCAGACATGGTGCATCCCTGAGTGCTGAGGGAGTTGTGCAATGAGCTGGCTGAGCCCCTGAAGATCCTGTTCAGTAAATGCCTGGATGAGCAAAAGGTCCCCAGTGATTGGAAAATGGCTTATGTGAGTCCTATATTCAATTAGGGTGATTATCACTCCACGAATAACTGTACAGTAGACCAGTGAGCCGAACAAGCATAATATGTAAAGTACTTGAGAGCATTATAAGAGATGCCATGATGGAACATCTACTACGAAACAACCTTGTAAATGATTGCCAACACGGTTTTATGCCAGGGTGCTCCTGCTTGACACAATTACTCAGGGTAATGGATATTTGGAACCAAATTCAAGATCAAGGTGGTAATATCGACAATATTTACTTAGATTTTGCCAAGGCTTATGACAGTGTACCCCATGCAAGGCTGAAAATTAAACTGGAAGGGTATGGGATTCAGGGAAATGTCCTAGCATTACATGGTGGGTGGTGCCAACTGGTGCTAGATGTTCCACTTTGGCCACCATACCCTCCTCGTTTGTTATGATGAGGTCCAGTGGCATGGGTGTTAGTGAGGTAATTCAATTACTCTAATAATAAACTTTGAAATATGTTTTGAAAACTCAAGATTTGGACTGACTTGTAACTGACAGTCAGTTCTTTTGAAGGTGTTTTAAAATATCTGAATACGATTGATATCACAAACTGGAGAAAAGAGTAATATCTTATTTTCAGTTTGTGAACTCAGCTGAATACTCATTAGTTCTAAACTAATGAGTACCAAACATCATGTTCTTTTGTTATGCAGAGCAACTGAACGATTTTTTCCACTGTAACTGTAGTATTAAATTTTGGAATGTTTATTTTGGGAGATCAGCATTTACACCTGTAACTAAGGGGTAATGCATTCCTTTGAAGGTGTTTAGTAATATTCAAATAGGATTTGATGGAGAAACTGGATGAAGGAAATAGTGTTTCCCCATTTTAGTGTTCCAAGCTGAGGGAATGCATACAATACAGTAATCCTTCCACAAGACTATTGTTCGTTTTACAGTAGATTACTGTGTGTTGAAAGCAACAGATGATGTTAGCCTGACAATGGTGACCAAATAGATTTATGTCATTATGATGGCATGTACAGTTCCAGCTGACTGGCCGCAGAACATGATTGTGAATATGCTGTATAGTACAGTAGTTACAAGGGAAAAAGTGATGCATCTGAACATGGAGATTGCAGGGACCAGAAGCTGTTGGATCAGGTTATGAAAGTTGTGGAAAAAGCGACCAAGAAATCAGTAAGGGCGAGAGTGGACATTATTAAAATGCAGTTTGGGTTCTCCCTGGTAGGGGACTACTGAGGCATTATTTACAGCCAGGTAACAAGAGAAATATTTTGGAAAGGAGAGAAAGTGTACTTCATAGCTGTAGATTTAATGAAGTAAAAGCATTTATTAAGGTGTCTCATGAGGTAGTGCAGCAAAGTTAGGAGTCAAGGAGTGTACTGTATGAGTTGTTACGGCATTGCATGGGGGCTTGAAAATCAATGAGAATACATGTTGAGGAAAATGAGGAATCTAAGGTGAAATTAGGGGTCTATGAAAGGTCTGTCTTGAGTCTCCTGTTTATTATGGTGCTTGGGGCAATATCAAGATATCAGGACTGGTCTGCCATGGGAGTTGATAGCAGATAGCATTCAAGAGATGGTGGAGAAATTTAAGAAATGGAAGAATAGAATTTAATCAAGGGTAGGAGTTTGATTGTGGCAATAACAAAAGTAATGGATGAAGACTTATGGTAGAAAGTGAAAAATGGCCATGTGCTCTCTGTTAGAATGATGTGTGAAGTAATTCAATAATGCACAGTAAGTGAAAGGTGGGTACACATGTAGTGCAGTGGTGTAAATGGCAGATTGCAGGATGCTACTGACTTTAAGTGCACTTTATGAACACTCTCAACAAAAACTCCTCTAACACCTGAGCACAATGGATGTGAGAATGAGCAAAATGGGACTTGTCATCTTGGAATGGTTTCAGATTCTTCGGGAGTCTACAAGGATCGTAAAGATTAACAGTGGGGATATACCCCTGGATTGTGTTGATGAGTTTGCTACCTGGGTGACATGATCAGTGCTGAGTGTGGTGCTGAAGCTAGATCACTTGCAAGAGTCAGAAGAAGTGGCTGAAAGACATTTAGGGAGCTGTTGCCTTTATTGATAGTGTGAGGACCTTTTCTAACCTTGAAAGGAAAGTTGAAAGTAACTGGTGTATGAAGTATGTTGTATTATGGCACTGAAACCTGGTAAGTTAAGTGGATGACAAATGTAGACTTGAGCGAGTTGAACGGACATGGATGTGTAATGTGATGTTCAGAAATAAGAAGGCAGTTCGGTGTTGAGAATACTAGTGGTTTTACATGGAGGTGAGCTGAGATGGTGCAGGAATGTGGAGAGGACAGGAGAGACCAACTTGGTCAAGAGATACATGAATTTGAATGTGTAGGGAGGAGGAGTTAAGGGTAGGTCAGGAATGATTTGGGGAGTGTTGTGAGAAAATACCAAAGTATCCAGTGTACTCTATCTGCACTGACCCTAACAGACTGTCAGTCAGCCTTATCGGGACTCATGTTCACATGACCAATAAAAATATAAATATGAGAAAATTCTTACCTGTATGTTAATATTTCAAGTCTTAAATAAACTTTTAACAGGTATCATCTGTCACTCATTGTCTTTGCTTCCTGGTTGAGCTTGATGTGACCAAAAGCTTCCTGCAATAACTTGATGCTCCTCTGAACACTGCTGGCATCATTCTTGTATTCTCCAAGCATTTTTGTCAGCTCATCAATCTGTAATGCAAAATAACATCATTGATGAATATTCAAGTTTCTAACTATGACTGTACTATAAATATTTGTTAACACAGCTGTCTATCCATGATCCATCATTTGATATGGTAGTGAACTGACTTAATTCTGTGATTACCATGATGTGAGAAAATAGGACACATACACAACTACAATGATACTCTCCTCTGAATTATATTAATAAATAATGGTACCTGTAGTACCTTAAAATGCATTTTATCAGCAAAATGAATTCAGTATTAATGACCTCACAGGGTAAAGATGTCAATGTTATGTCCATTATATATGAAGCAATGAGCCATGAACCTGTAATATTAATTTTTTATTAACTGTTACAAGTTTGTCCTCATCAATATGCTTTAACCCAATAGTACTGTACAGTGGTAACAAAATTGTACCAGTATATTTTTTATACATACAACAGTAAATGAAAATTCTTAACAAACTAACATAATTGTTTTCCTTCATCAAGTTTGTTCTCTTCCTCATTAATTAAAAATGAAACTTTAAATTTCAAGTTCTTTCTACCAACCAACTCAATAAATTTACAGACCTCTTTTTCATAATCTGTGAGCCTCTGAAGCTTGCGATGGTTCTGTATTCTTGCGTACAGCTCTTCAGTGCAGTAACCAATATAAAGAATGACTATAAGCAGCAACAGTACAGACATGCTGTTTCTTACACGTCGCCATATAGCCATCTTGCAGACACCATTGTCAATTACTTACTAAAGCTCTGGGTCCCTGGCCTGTGTTGCACTCTGCTGGCTGTACCTTATGTTATGCCTGAAAATAAAATTACTGTACAAGCATCAGTAGAGTACTGTTACTTATAACAAATAAGCAAAAGAAGAAAAGAAACAATTGGGCTAAGTTTTCAAGCTAAATTGTGACCATAGTTTGAAGCATGTGTTGAGTGGTTGCATTTTACATCTTACAGTACAGTACAGTATTTTGGTTAAATTATTACAAGTACACTTGATACTGTACAGTATCATGTTGATTTTATGCAACATCTGTTTTGTTTTCTTTTGATTACAGGTATTCATCATAAGTTAATGAGAAGACATTTAAAAACACATAGGCAACTCTTAAAATTGGTAATCTATAAACTTAATTCTTAAGACAAAAACTGGGCTATACTTGGCATCATGTGACATGGGAGTGAATATTATTCCTTAATTCACCAAGATGAAGCAAAGGTATATAATAGTTTTGTGTATAGCCTTCACTTATATAACTATTACTGTCCGTATACAGCATTTGACAGAGGCTTATACACACAGTACACTAGTACTCTTGATCTTTGGGACAGTTAGTATTGACGACTGACCCGCCGCCAATTTTTCATAGAAAAGTATTTAAAAACACTGCAATTTCACTGTATTTTATAGTGGGCACTGTCATAGTTTTGGCAAATGTGTTAAAAAGTGGCTATTTCTAAATTGAACCTTACCTTAGTTGAAAAGAAAAACAAGCGGCAGAAGTGTTGTTACAAGACCTCACCAACCTAACCAAACAATCCTACCTAACCTTACACTAACTCCCTAGCAGTGAGGTTCCACCTTTTGGACCTCCCCAGCATATATAAAAAAAAACCAGATAATTATATAGGAATTGATTGAAAAAAATGATGAAAACACTAGATTTTCATTGTTGTAGTTTGTGGAAATATGTTAAAAATTGGATATTTAAAAAATAAACATTACTTAACATTTGTGGGTACGAAAAACAGACCTAACCAACCTAACCAAACAAACCTACCTATCCTTAGTGGGGCCCCTCCGGTATATTAAACAGAAAGAACTTACTATGATATGGTGAAATTTGAGGCATTTTCTGGACTTGAGATGATGCTGCCACATCGGCACTATGTACCCCGGGCGGTTGAGTGATATACCTGTACTGTGTTGGCGGTTTCCACAATAAATGATTATCATATCAGAACTCACTGATGAAAATAATGTAAGAAATTAACAGTCTCTATGTAAAGGAACAATGCCGTGATCTTTAAACAATTGAAGGGTCTCGTTGTCTTTACCCCAAAATTCACAAATTACGTCCATGTAAGATTGGCGACAACCTTCACACGACATGCTAAAAAAACAAACTGCCCCGGGCCAAATGTGGCCCTTAGAATGGTCAGGTGTGGCCCGCGGGATGACGATAAAATTTATCAGCCGTGAAATTTGATAAAAATAGATATGAAGGAAAAAAATTAAATATGATCGAGTCAGTAAATTCTGAAATGATCTTTACATCATTGTGGCAATAATTGAATTTACATTGAGCTCTTAGTTTCAAAACACAAATCAAATTCTGCATATGCAGTATATGCCTTTTGTTACCCTATTATTAGCGTTAATCATGTTTGTCAAGTAAAATAATTTTACATACTTAAGATCAGACAAACCCAAATGATGCACTCCTGGTAGGCCAAGTGAAGCAATGTGTGAAGCTGTAAACCTCAATCTTGCAAATATGTGATATAGCACTTGCGTTGGCCCTGAAGAGGGTAACTAAAATAAGAATTGGCCCTCGAAAGGTTTTGAGTTTGACACCACTGTGGGCCTATTTTTTTTTTGGTATTACAAGTATTGCGTTTACACACCGTTCATTCCTACCACTAATCTATTATCATATTCGAATAAGACGTCTAATTTTAAGATAATTTTCATCTATTACATTACCGGCGGAAATGTATAATAACGGAGATAGCTTTTCCCAAAAAAATTCTGTTTTCTTCCATTAACCTCCCTCCATTATCGTCTGCCTCTCACCCAACACTGCGTGTCTCTCGCGTCTCCTTCATAAATCATCACGTGCATGCGTACCTGTACACGTCGCGCGGCCACTCAAAAGCGTTTTTGCTTTTGGAACCAATTAAAATGATTTTGGGTTTAATTTAGAGTATATTTGGCCCAATCAAAATCGAGTTTTATTTTGGGTCTCTCATATTTTGAAATTCAAGTTCAGTTCCGACCATGGAAGTCTGCGATGGGTGTCACTTAGTATATGGAGCTGATTGCGAGTTTTTGGAAAAAAAAAACAAAGAAACTATAGCATTTTTTCGATCGCATGGTGTTCTTCCAACCTCAGTAAAGTGTACTAAGAGCAAAACTGAATGTAAATATCGCAAAGACCAACATATGTGGCGTTGGGTAAGAATCCCAGAATGCAACGACGAACAAGAACCAGGCCAATAAGGTAAGAAATAGGTGATTCCATCATATGGTGAGACTCAGTTAAGTTAGGTTAGATGAGATTAGGTTAAGTTTTTGTTTTTCTAGTGTTTTTTTTTTGTGTATTTTTTAGTCGCTTAGCCGCTTTTTTTCGGAAAACGTCAAACGAAAAAAATCGCTTAAACAAAACGGCTAATTTCCGCCACAAATGAAGGTCACATTTGGTCTCAACACACACAAATACACTAGAAAAATATATTTTTTACTTGCAAAAAGTGAACGGTTTGACAATGCAAATTTACCTTTTGTTTTAGTTTAACAAATTTATTGACAAAGCTTGTAGTACAGTTTGCCTATTGTGAGTAATTCAGTCAGGTCTTGACACTGGGGGTGGTATCACTTCTCACTGCTGTCAGGTCTGGTGGGTATCCTCTTCAACCAACTGACAGTCCCTAGCATATCTCGGGGACCAGATGGGGTGACATCTTTAAAACTGAACTATTGAGATTACCATGAATAAGTATTTATAAATAACATGCTTAAGAAATGAGATACTTAATCCTTGATTGTTAATAAGTATAAATTTGTAAAGTTTCTACCTGAACTTGGGTGTTACGAGGGGGGAGGTAAAGGCCTGCACCACAACACTCACTCCATCACCAGTCACCAGCCTCGACGAGCTTAAGATAACTTGTCGAGTGACGCCCACGGTATTCTTCCTAAGCTGTTACAATATAATTAACTGCATGTGAGATATAATAGGGTTGCTTCAATTCTGTCAGCTACATTTGTAATATGCCTTACCAGTAATAAGGAAGAGACTTATTAAAAAAAAAAATCTTTAGTTTATCTTCCCTCACTGCTATGGTTCAGCCGGTCGGTTATTTTCCTGTTGGTATATTGTTACGGCCCTCCTCCTTTCACTTTTCTTTCTTTTATCTTCTTCACCACTGATCGGCTCGTTAGCCGCTTGGGCGATCGGTCACGTCTCTGCCACACACTGTTGGCAAGTACTGGGCATGTACTGGCTCCTGAATGTACCTGAACCTGCTCCAGTGTTGGTCAATCCTTGTCTTGAAAGAGCTCACACTCGGTGCCGTCACAACACTCTCTGGTAGATTGTTCCAAGAGTTTACAACCCTCACTCCGAAAAAGTTTGCCCTCACAGTTTTCTGGACTTGCGGCTTCTTCAATCTTGCTCTGTGACCCCTTGTGGGACGAGCGTCCGCCAGCTCCAAGTAAGGACACTCAACTGAGTAGTGCCCCCTGAGATGCTTATACACCTCAATTATGTCCCCCCTTGCCCGTCTGTAGTATAAGCTAGGAAAGTTCAGGCGCTCCAATCTCTCAGGGTAGCTGAGGTACCGAAGTGCAGGCACCAGTCTGGTGGCCCTCCTTTGAACATTTTCAACCAACTGACAGTCCCTAGCATATCTCGGGGACCAGATGGGGTGACAGTACTCCAGATGGGGAAGCACTTCACTCCTGAAAATCGTTACGAGGGACGGACGGTCTAGATATCTGAACGACCTTCTTATAAGACGCAATAGTTTATTTGCCTGATTTACTTTCTTCTCGCAATGGCCTGAGAACTTCAGCTCATTGTCAACATACACACCTAGGTCCTTCTCACATTCAGATTCAAATAGTGCAGTTTCTTCATCCCGTTGGGACATATGGTACGCCTCCTTACCGTTTGTACGCCTCAGGTGCATCCTCTTACACTTCGTGACATTGAATCTCAGCAACCATTTTTTCGACCATTCTTGGAGCCCACAGAGGTCCTTCTGCAGCTCTTCACAGTCCGCTTGGTTCTTGATTGCCGGAAATAACTTGGCATCATCAGCAAACAATTGTATGGAGGAGTGTACAACGTCAGGCATGTCATTTATGAAACAAACAAACAACAGCGGGCCCAATACACTGCCCTGTGGTACCCCACTTGTGTTAGGTACGGATGACGCTTTCGTGCCATTAATCACCACACACTGCTTGCGGTCATGTAGAAAGTCCTCTATCCACGTTAGGACATTGTAGTGGACGTCTCCCCTACAACTGCGTAGCCACAGCCACCACCTGCTACCGCCTTCCCTAGCAACCAACCAGATGTTACCGTATCTTAGCAACGGAACCAGGAACCGGCGACTTCTCGGGTTTTCCCAACATGACTCATAGCGGCTGCTGGGTATATAAGCTCTGTCTCTCCATTGAGATTCATTCTGACCATTCTTCTTGAACAAGCAACACCTCCTCCTCCGCCGCTGCCTGGCTGCCTTCGCTTCTCCTCGCCTGCCTGGCGGTCCTCGCTCCCGCCAGCGAGCATGGCGACCCACCAGCTGTCCTTCTCTGAGCTTCCTCACCAACCAACTCTCATTCTGCCCATCTTCCTGAACAAGCAACACCTCCTCCAGCAAGCTCCACGCTGTCAGCATTCATTCAACCAGGAGGCCAGCAACAGGCAACATCTTCTCTAACGAAGCTCCTGCACATCTACCTCCTTCAACACGCTACTCACCGAACGTCTTCTACTGAGCAGCTCCTCACCACATGGCACCTCCAGCACCAGACTGTCTATCATATAACTTATATTATACAAGAAAACCACATTAGAGTTTCCTTCCATCCTGAGTGCTAGACAACATTAATATCTCGATACCCCTACAACATTTCCCCAAATTCCGAACCCTTCCAGTTTGATTTTCAGCCTTTCGTGGGGTACACTGTCGAAAGCCTTGGCAAAATCTAGGTAAATATTGTCGATATTACCACCCTGTTCCAGAATATGGTCCAAACATCGTACCAATCTTCAAGAGTGAAGTGCTTCCCCATCTGGAGTACTGTCACCCCGTCTGGTCCCCGAGATATGCTAGGGACTGTCAGTTGGTTGAAAATGTTCAAAGGAGGGCCACCAGACTGGTGCCTGCACTTCGGCACCTCAACTACCCTGAGAGATTAGAGCGCCTGAACTTGCCTAGCTTATACTACAGACGGGCAAGGGGGGACCTAGTTGAGGTGTATAAGCATCTCAGGGGCACTACTCAGTTGAGTGTCCTTACTTGGAGCTGGCGGACGCTCGCCCCACAAGGGGTCACAGAGCAAGATTGAAGAAGCCGCAAGTCCAGAAAACTGTGAGGGCAAACTTTTTCGGAGTGAGGGTTGTAAACTCTTGGAACAACCTACCAGAGAGTGTTGTGACGGCACCGAGTGTGAGCTCTTTCAAGACAAGACTTGACCAACACTGGAGCGGGTTCAGGTACATTCAGGAGCCAGTACATGCCCAGTACTTGCCAACAGTGTGTGGCAGAGACGTGACCGATCGCCCAAGCGGCTAACGAGCCGATCAGTGGTGAAGAGGATAAAAGTAAAAGTATAAAAGCATCATAACCGTTCAAAACACGATCCACTGTGTTACCTATTGCTACCAATGTGTGCGTGTGTGTCCCTCTTGACCATCTCCCTGAATTTTTGAAGTCACTGTGACCATCTCCTGGCAACTTGACCAACTTGAGGCCAATCATTGAGGGGGGTTGAGCCCCTCTCCCCACACCAGTCTGGCCATCCTTGCCTGTATCTGAGTAAAGATAATTTAAAACCAGACTTGATAGTACAATCTCAAATCCAGTACATACCCAGTACTTATTTACAGAATAACAGACTACCTGGCCACCAAGTTAGATAATAACCTGAGAAGCAGCGAAAAGAAGAACGTAAAAAATAATATATTATAACGTTACTGAGAATAATTGTTAAAATATAATTATATCCCATACATATTCCTCCATTCTCTATGAGCCTCCAACAACACTTCAGTGCAGTAGTAGTCCTGTGCACAGCTGTTGAACCGACTAGACTAGTGAGTTCTGCTACTAAAGGGGGTATAGGACGTACAGTGGATAAATATATATATATCACGACAAAATATACGAGATATTAATTTAAAGAAGGATCCATGATTAAGTAAAGTTGAGTGGAGTAACTGTGTGTAGTAGGGCGTTAACATGAGATTATCACTACACACCTGTCTACACATCTGTACCTCCTCCTCACATCAAGTTTGACTCCACACCAGGATAACCAATGTGATGAACATATGAACATTTAGGGGATAACTGGGTCAAGAAAGGTCAACGGTAAGATATAGGGATGTACCCAATGGTCGAGCCAAGGAGACAGCCACGGCCATAGTTGTTTAAGAATCACCCATCAATTTTTAGATGAAATTATGTTTTTATTGTAGTAGACAGTATTTCGGTTAAAGGTGTAGACAATGGCTACCACCACAAGGAGTTTGTTGAATTGGTTGAATTTTTTTCTACACACTAATATGATATTTAACATTAAAATGGAAAAGATAATCCATAGAACCTAATAGAACCTGACCTAACATACCCCATAGAACCTAACCTTATATACCCAGGGTTTGGTGGGTGAGGTTCTATTTGGTTCTCTGCAAAATTTTGAAATGCATTTTTTTAATATAATGCTAATAAGATGATATTCAATACAGAAATGGAAATCTTAAACAACTTACCTTAATATTTGAAGCGACTCCGATTAATTGTACGGCGTCTGTGGACATAATCATAAGATCGCGTATTACATTGAAAGTTGTTATTTTTGTAATATGTCTCTTCCCCATTTTGAACATTTGCAAGTGTTCTTCATTAACCCACAGTCACAAATGAAAGATATCAGGCGAGGTTCATCAAGAACTAGGTTTGATAAATCACGCCATGAAAAATCACATCCTTCGCAAAATATGACACACTTACATCATATATTGGTTCTATAGAGATGATATGAAAAGAAGGCTGAATGCATTGAATAACTAACCAAAAGAGCAATAGACCGGTATTAACGTAATGTAAATTTAATAAAGAAGCTTAATTATTTTATTTAACGGATCAGGATTAATGGTACAGAATTTATACAGGTTGTCAACAACGAACAATGGCAGAAACAAAGAAAATGTGCTGCTGGTCTCTTGAAAGGTAAGAAAATGATATGTGGCGTCACAAATGCACCTAGAGACTTAATTATAATGCCATAACATCAGTGTTTGCCGTGTTTTTACCTCATCCTTCCCCTCATCCTTCATGCCCTGCCCTCTGACAAGGAATTTATGATCGTAGGATAGAGTAAATGAGAAAATTCTTAAAGGATACTTAAAATCATAATAGAAAGTTGTCATTTCTTTTAATACACTTAAAATCATCAAAACAATAAGTACATTATAGGAAAAATAAAGAAAATCAACAAACTCCTTCTGGTGGTAGCCGTTGTCTCCACCTTTACCGTATTTCAATATAGTACTGTAGTATGAATGAATTCCACCTTCATTTCTTCGGCAAATTGACTTATGGAGATACAACTCATCCCTTATGAATTAACTTGAACCAAACATATGGTACGGATTACACTCAAATTTTCTTGCCTTAGATCACGTCACTTTTACCCCATGTGGTAAAAGAAGACTAGAGTTGACCTTATTCTAGTCTATTGTTCATATAACTGACCAAGGGCAGTATGGCATCTGGAAAGGAACAAAAGAATATTCTAGTAAGTGAAGGGAACAATGAAAATATAATATAACCCCAAACAAAACAAAACTCAATGATAAGAAACATAACAAGGTAGAAGACGTGGGTTCAAGTGTAGCATAACTTTATTACACCCCACAATTTCCCTGATCTTGACAGCCCTGCTCACTTTGTTGGGGTTGTTAATATTGTACGAGGAGATGAGGTTCAACGCAGAAGAGAAGCATTTGCCTAAAGAAGCATCATAGAATATATGAATTTTTGTATTTTAATTACAAAAAAAAATATCTCAAGTATTATATTTTGGGCAGTCATAAAAGTAAAACAGTATTTTTCTTGATAGTTGGTGTGAACTTTACAAATTTTGGTAATTATTATTTACAGAATGGATATTTTGCCATGACCAGCTAAGTTCCTACTTATGCTATTTTACCGTGAGTGCGCTTTGATTGGCTAATCGTCCATTGCCGGGAAACAACGAGAACTATATTTGACCGTGACTCTGGCAGCATTTGGCATTTATTTTGCCATGAATTGATTGTTGTGTAGCTATAAATATACCAAACTGTATTTAAGTTGTGCATGGAAACTTAATATAGAAGAGGCGACATTTAATAGAACCAAATAGAACCTGACCTAACCAACCAAAGAAACCTACCTGCCTAGCCGAAGGGCAGACCCCCATTCATATTAAACAGAAAGAACTTAGCTAATCAGAGTGCACTTACAGTAAAATAGTGTTAGTAGGAATTTAGCTGGTCACGGCAAAATATCCACTGCGTATTATTTATAGTCTGATTTACTACAAGAAGGATTAGGATAATAGTTGGGAGTGAATTTTCTAAAATTATTGTTGTACATGAGTGACAGTAGTGAGGCCAGGTGTGTAGAGAAAGATCTGGATGGTAACAACAAACTATGGGTAATACTCTGGAACAGGTCTGGGCTAACTGGTAACTTTAGAAAGTTTATCTATAGACGATAACTTCTTCCGGTAATGGTTATAGAGGCTAAAATCTCGCACGTGGGCGTGTGTGAGAGCGAGGTGGAGCAGACAACTACGTCATCAACATGGCGGCAAACAAACGCTATCATTGATGAGCACGGACGCTTCCCGCAAAATCTCCGTTATTCAAGAGAATCCAGATGTTATTATTGAAAATGGGTATCTGTTGTAACTTACCGTTATTGTCGAAAGCGTTATTGTGGCAGTCGTTATTGGCGAGAGCCTACTGTATAGTACATCCTTCTTTCTTCACACAGCCAAACTGTGGAATGCTCTGTCTTCTCCTGTTTACATCCTCTTACAATGTATCTCATTTCAAAAGCTGGTTTTCTGGCATTTTCGTGACTTTGATTAACATAATCTTTCTCCTCTAATTTTTACTTCATTTTATTTTTGCCCCCAGGCCCTGTTACATTTAAACAAATAATGTCAGTTGAATGTCACTTCCCTGCAACATTTTGGACACTTGCTTGTCATTTCTATAAGTCTATGGTCCCATATTAATTCTTTAGCACAGTCTTGATCCTCAAGAAGCACTTATGGATTTTCCAGTAGAAAATGCCATTATTGCTTCCATGAGGCAATGTGTCTCCTCGAGGAAGAAAAATAACAGTGCAACTCCCAATTTAAATGTAAGGTATCCAAACCCATATTATGGAATTTAATCTCAACCATATGACTCTCATCCTTTATACATAAAAGAGATTTGGGAACCTATTCCTCAGTAGGGGGAAAATATATAGAATTTGCACAGACATAGACTCTACAACAACAAAGTGAATCTTGCAAAATGAAAAACAAAAAACAATCAATCCATTAATTATGGTACAGTATTACAATCCCCCAATCAGATCCTCCATCATGTTCACAAGATCAGATTCACATCCTTATATCTTAAGAGTGGACCAGTGCGATGGTTGCCAGTCGAGAAATGATGCTACCATTTTTATGGTAAATAGTTTATTTCTTCGCCTACAGAGAACTAAGAGGTATTTTATTACTGCCATGTTTTATTTTGTAATTTCCCCGCCTACTACAGGTGATTTGAGAAGCTACGGACCTTAATCTGCTAAGTGCCAAAATAACAAAATGGGAGAAAATGCTCCTGTAGGAATGTGTGACATACATTGGTCTTTTCAGCGGACTCTCACCCACAGGTACAGGTTCCCAATTGGCTCTCTGACTTACCCAGGGGACAGAGGAGAGGTTGGGGAATACTGTACAGTGCAATACTGTACATAACACATTTCAGCAATATATGGCTAAGCAGGTTATGGTCTGGAGCTCCTCATTTATGATCAACAGGTATAGCAAAATAAAAAATAATTACAGTATAGTCTCAATTTACGCGGATTTGGTTTACGCGTTTGGTCATTTACGCGGCTCCTTGCCAGACCGACAATTTTTATTTACACGGTTCATTCCATCATTTACGTGGGAAGCGGCGCGGGCAGGGTGCACACAAGGTTGCCCAGTCACCAAAACATTACCGAGTTCTTCACCCGCCACCCACCACAGCCGGCCCAAGTCAGTGATAGTGAGGATATGGACTTTGAGGGGTTTGACAAAGAGGCCCTGCAAGCCTCTGTGGTGGATAGTGATACAAGTGATACAGGTGAGGGCCAATAATCTGCCCTCTGCCTCGGAACCAACCCCCCAACTCCGTGTGCCCAGCCATCTTTTCTACTAACGTAAGTGTTAAAAAACCTAATATTATTGATATTATTGTTATATTTACTACAACGTACATATTGTGTCGGAAAAAGTGTAGTTTGGGGGTCGGCCCAGTCTCTATTTCAATTAATCCCATATGTTCTGTTATTTCGTTTACGCGTTTTTTTGTTTTGCGCGGACCTCCACGGGTTCAATCGACCGCGTAAATGAAGACTATACTGTACTGTACTGTGCTTAAAATAAAAGGAAAAAATTATATATGCTGTATATTATTTTTTTATTACTTACTACAGTATCATCCAAATAAGATCTCTGGAGAAAATAAATCAATTCTATAAACTCCTTTTGGTATTAACCATCTCCTGTCTTTCTCACCACAAGAATATCCCAAAGCAGGTACAGGTAGTAGAGGAATTACAATTGTTATAATTTTGTTTTTCCTAGTTGTTGTTGTTAATAAATACCGTACACTGTCCACCCGAGGACACAGTGTTTATACTTCAGTTGTTGACAAATGCTTCCCAGTGACCTTCCGTACTTTACCCAACAATGCTCTTTAACTTAACTTTGTGATGTAGTCGGGACCGCTAAGTCTGAGACTAAGACCTTTATAAGGTGAGACACAAACCAGTATACTGTGTATGAGAAACTTAGTCACCAGTACTACTCTTCTTCGTATGTGGAAGTTTGGAGCATAATGAAGTGTACTGTACAGTAGGATGAAATCTGATTACTGAAGCACAGGGAGCTCATCTGGCTCACTGTTGAAAGAGGGGGATGCAGTGGTGGTTGGTGGAGAGGTGGGTGGCAGGGAGGTGGGTGGCAGGGAGGTGGGTGGTGGAGAGGTGCAGGGAGGTGGGTGGTGGAGAGGCGCGTGGCAGGGAGGTGGGTGGTGGAGAGGCGCGTGGCAGGGAGGTGGGTGGTGGAAAGGCGCGTGGCGGGGAGGTGGGTGGTGGAACGGTGGCAGCAGATGACCGCGTAGGTGAGGGAGACGAATCAGGGAGAGTGGCTGGTTCTTTCTTGAAAAACATCGTGATTGGTAGTTGTTCCTCGTGGCTTTGAGGTCTCTAATTGTTTCACTCTACTAGCATTACTAGCACTGACACTGGGCAGTCTTTTAGGGGCCATTTTCACACAGAAACACTAAAGTTTCAATACAACACAAAAGATGCTGCATTGCAGGCAATGGTTGAGCACAAACAAAGGGAGAGAAGACGTTGCGGGCACATGGGGGTGACTCATTGCACTGTGGGACAGGCCCTTAAGCTAGCCACTGTCTGCTTACCGCAAATAGTCGAAATTGCAAACCCGTGAATAGCAAGGGTTTACTGTATAGTACGTATATGCAGAGAGTGTACAAATATGTACTCGGGCAAACTGATAGGCTAATACATATACAGTACTGTACACACATGCTGTGACCTTGCACGTGCCAGAAAGTTACATCACCAGGGATATGGACAGCCTGACTGGAACACACACAGGTTTACAGCTCAACACTTACCACTGTTAACTAATGTGACTCAGCTGTAACCCACCCATCCTCCTTGTGTTATGGTGGGAAACTTAGGTGTCTGCTGTCTTTAAGGGCTACAAAGAGAGGAGATAACGTTCCACCTTGTCCTCATCGTAGAGAATGTGCTGTACTGAAGTTGAATTGAAATTTTCTTTGTGGGTGAATGGGGTATTAATGTAAACAGTCTCTCTGCTTGTGAATGCAGAGCTATTTAATTTAGACATCTAGCTATACACTACACAAGACGACGGTGAACCAGGAAGAAGTGTCGGTGTGGGAGTGTGTGGTGCTGGGGAGCCAAACTGTAGGCATTTACCAGCTTTTGTCATGGAAGGACTTTATTTAACTATTAATTTATTAACTAGTAAAGCTTTTTATGTTTAATTTTGAATTTTATTAAACATTGCTATGAAAGAGGTGTAATTTGACATGTGGTACTGTGCTGTACAAGGATTAAAAATTGTGGTGATAGTTCCTGTACTGTACTTTATTTTTATCTTTTTATTTTTCTATCATATTCGCCACTTGTCAGCCTACTAGCCGTTTGGGTGGTCTATCAAGTGTTAGTACATGAGGAAACCTGTGGTTTTTGGTAGGGGTCACACTGGATAACGCCCTTCTCACGTGTGTCTGGGCCGAGGCTCGAACCCTTGACATATTGGTGAGAGTTCCCGCTGTACCACCAACACCCAACACATTCTTGTTCCTCATTACAAGAAGAATTTATTGTACTTTTCCACATTGTTAATTTGGCAATTCTAGTTCCCACTGGGTTTTACAAATTGTCCTCTTGGGGTTAAATTATTGGTTTTGTGTGTTGCAGTTATGAAAGTCATATATGTTATGTTTCTGGTAGCTGCTGTGTTTGTGCTCTTCCTTAAGTGAAAATCTGAATACTGTATGTGGCATTCACCCAACCTTTAGAGACATTTATTGTAGTGTATCCTTTTGGGCAGCAATCGGTACCTTGTGTGTAGCAAGAGATATACTGTAACTACCTTTGTCAGACACTTTTGATGAGTTTATTATCAAATTGTAACCTATAAATATTATAAGAAAAAGCTTACAATTAGATTATGTTTTGTTGAATCATAATCTTTATAAGTGTACATTCATTTGCTCAAAGGTTAAAAAGAATTAATATTGTTTTTTGCATTTAATGTATTATTTGTCGTCGTAACAGAAGAGTACAGCAGCAAAGAAGGTTTTACCATGTGGAAGATGGAAGGCCCCGTCGTAGGTGAGACCAGCTCCCAGAACAACGAGGTGAAGGACTCCATGCGGCCTGTCCTCACTTCACACCAACCTTTACTATTTAGGAAGCCTACAAAAAGGCTGAGTCTGCTGCAACTGCAAAGAAATCGTGAAATTGAGGTAAGATACAGGTACAGGTATTGAAATCTTGGAGCTGTGCAAGGTGAGAAGTGTAACAAGAAAGTGTATCAGTTATGACAGGAAAGATGATGACAATACTGAACTGTATTTGTTGTGATATGCTGTACTTGTTATCTGCTGATGTGACAAGTTTGGTTGAAATCTGTTGTGGTGGTCATATTTTGAGATATATTTTGGTCATCAATATTACCTCACATCTCATGGGTGCCATTGATACACAGTATTGTACAGTGTTGTGCATGATATTCACAATGGACAGGGTGTGTCAGAACCTACTGGTTACCTCATGTATTAGGCAAGACTTACTGTATATGGTAGTACATTAAATTAGTAGTCTTTAATGTGTTTTTCCCTTCCAGGATGTAAATTGGCAGGGTTTTTCGAGGCAAAACCAGATGACTCGCTCACTAGTGGGTCGACTTGGTATAGTACAGGAATTAGAAGGTCACAGAGGATGTGTAAACTGCATTGAATTCAACACAGAGGGCAGGTGAGACCCAGGGAGTGTCATCCATTTTATAATACTTTTCCTAATAGTTAAGTAATTTTTCCATGCTGTCCAACAGTATGACAATTGTTAACTAGCACTTGATACAGTACAGTTTGAAGTTTGCAAGTTTTAATATCAGTTTAGAGAGATGAGGTTGATGTATCTTTTATAGCTCCTGGTCTCTCATAAAGTGACTTCAGAAACTACACTACAAGAACACCACTTGCTTTGTCCAAAGGGCTAGGTGCATTTTTAGACAGGGATTTTATCCATTTGATATACATAAATGTACTGTAAACTCATTCACCTAGTTAAACCCAGGTTATACATCAGGCACCAACCCTGATTCACTGGTTCCTTTGAAACCCAGCAATGTAAGAGGTTCACTTGGGTGTGTATGCTTGACCTACATCCCTTATACATAACCTGGAGAATCAGCCATAAGCTGTGCCTTGTGCCATTCTCTCAACACATTTGCTTTCTATTGAATTTATGGAATTTAAGGAAAATTGTTCTCTTCATTTATTTTCTTATGTTGACATTAGTGGCTGTTGTCACACAGCCTTTTGTACAGAATACATTCTCATTATGAAGTGAGTGATGACTAATGGTAATTGGGCTAGTTGATGTTTTTGTAATGGCCTTAGTGGATGCTGCATGGTCCACTAGTTGCAAGATTGGCTTGTTATAATTTGTGATTCAGTCACAGCAGCATTTTGCATCAATTCAAATTTTCAGTGTTTTTCAAAGTAAATTAGGCAGTGGGTTCCACCACCATAGATAATCTCGTTTTGGCTGACTCATCTGAAGGTGTGTATACTTAGCTTTTCTCTTTCAGGCCTTTCCCCACTTCTTGGAGGAGGGCCAAAGACGAGAGTGAATACACACACACACATTTACCCTTAGTTATTTATTCACTTATGGAAGCTCAAAACAGGGACATCATGGATAGAATATGAAATTGAAACCAAAAATTGATTCCATTATTGCTAGAGTGTGACTTTGATAAACAAGGACCAGGACAATAATATAATAATTACAAAGAAGTATTGTTAGAGACTGGGGAAAAACTTATAGAGCATATGAGGAACAAGGCTAAAAATGAGTGGATGACAATTGAAATTATAAAAAAAATGGATATATGAAGAAATATGATAAATTGAAGTGATGCTTATAAAAAGACTTAACAAATAAATTAAAACAGGACTGGAGACAAGCCAAGGAAGATGATCTAGATAGGAATTGCAAGGAGATGGAAGATGATGACAAAGGCATGAACACAAAAGGAAATAAATGGGGTGGGACTATTAAAAGCAAAGACAATAAGATCCTGTGTGAGGCAGAAGTAAAAGAGAAATGGGCCGAGTCTGTAGAAGAACTATACAATGATAAGGATAAAGTAGAGGTGAGAAATGAAAAGGAAATAAAGATCAAAATGCCAATTCTGGAAACAAGTTGAGGCAGCTGTGAGGAAAATGATAAAGCTTGTGGGGTTGATCAGCTTCCAGGAGAATTTATAAAACAAATGGACAAGAATGGGATAAAGTGTTAATATGTGATGCTGTATAAGGGATACTGGTGGTACACATCCTCATTGGTGCACGCAACAAAATTATTCTGCACTGTAAAGAATTAAAGGGAACCTTGGTCTTGATGCTTAATACTGTATTAAGGAAATGTTTTGTGGGGTATGATTTGCTTGGTCAATTGCTTCCTGTCTGGATCCAAAAGCCAATGATTCATTTGAATTCATTTTCAAGTTAGAGTTTCAGTTGACTCACAGGTTTTTGTAACAACCTTTTGGATCGGGGTTGAAGTTTGCTTCATAGCTCTGGTTGAACTGGTCCTGTGGCTGTTGACAGTATTTGTACTGATACTAAACTGACCGTGTACAGTACCTTTCTTAAACACAAAGACCCCAATAGACAAAACAGGTCACTTAATTCTTCACCGTGGCTATAAAATGGGTTTTGTTTATTTAAAATCCTTTGTAATTTTATTCATTTACTTTTACTTTTCAGTCTGATATAATTATTTGCAACATTAGACCAGAGTATTACAGGTAAATATATATTTTTTTCTTTTCAGCTTACTGCTCTCTGGGTCAGATGACTATGATGTCATGCTTTGGGATGTTTATCGAAAAAAAAAAATCAAGACGTTGCATACCGGTCACAGGGGTAATATTTTCTCAGTCAAGGTAATGTTTCTAGATGTTATCAAAGTAAATTTCTCAGAACTGCATCTTTCCCAAGTCACATTTGACAGCTCAGTCAAATGTGAGCTAGACTACACAACACTGACTTTTCTGCCTGGCCACTAATGGTGAAAATGGTGATTAACCGTGCAAACTCTTTAAAGTACAGGTATTGTGAGTGTAGCCGAGTAGATAATGGTGCCGCATTTTAAGGTCAGTGGACTTGATCCTCCCTAAATCTGGGGTGGCTCTTCTTCTGTCCAACTGTTAGATAGGGTGGAATCAAAGGCATTTCGTCTTATTAGCTCTCTTCCTTTAGTTGATAATCTTTCTTCCCTTTCTCTTCGCCACAATGTTGCTTCACTCTTTTACAGGTACTTTAACAGGCAATGTTTGGTGGATTTGGCATTCTGTGTACCTCTGGCAAGGCCGTGGGCTCATAACACTCGTCTTGCCTGCGGTGCCCACTATTTCTCTGTGAATGTCGGTCATACTAGAATAACCAGTTATAGTACATCCTTGTTTCCTCACACAGCCAAACTGTGGAATGCTCTGCCTTCTTCTGTGTTTCCACACTCATACAATCTCTCTCACTTTAAAAAGCTGGTTTTCCGGCATCTTCGTAGTGTAGATTAATAGGTATAAGATTTTTCTTTTCTATTTTTTTGCCCCTTAGGCCCCGTTGTGGGTCGATGACCTGTGCCTGGGTGGGCTGTTTCCCGAAAAAAAAAAAATAAATAAATAAATAAATCTGGGAGGGATTGATTAACTAAAGTTGGGAGTGATTTTGGCCATCCTAAACCATAGCATGGATAACAAATACACTTGTTATTACTATACAGTATTAGGTGTAGAGGATCATTTCAAAAGATATTCCTAAATTGGATGAATTTGAAGTTTACACCACCTCAACTTTGCTCTTGTTTTCCAGTTTGTGCCTCAGAGTGGAGACAGAGTCATCATATCAGGAGCAGCTGACGGTAGGATGGAAGTCCGTGAAGTAGAGACTGGGGAAGTCACCCAGCTGTGTACATGTCACCGTGAACGTGTTAAGAGAATTGCTACAATACCTACATTGCCAAATGTATTTTTATCTGCATCAGAAGATGGTACTGTTATGTAAGTTCCACCTTGACCTGAAAGATTGGTCAAATATATTCTTGGTAGAAGAGTCTGCATCTATATCATCATCTCTGTTTTATGGCCATTTAGCTGTGTTTATTTGACGGTAAGGAGCACGGCAGTCAAAAGGATTCAGCGCTTGCCTCCTGTTCCGGGAGTCAGTGGTTCGATTTCTGGGCGCTCCCAGTTCACCCAGTTGTAAATGGGTACCTAAGTTTACAACTTGAGGAAGTGGAGAGCAATAACGGCCTTGTTGCTTCCTTGTGTACTGAAGGCTTAGTATATAAGTGTGTTGTATCCACTGTACTTAACGGGCAGTCATGACTATGGGACCAACTTTCACTTTATCTAATGGCAGCTGCCCAAGCTGCATAGACACAGCCTCTCTCCTCTGCTTCTTATCTTGGAGATCATTTCTCACAACCTTCCCCATGTCATTCTTGGCCCACCAGCTCTCAACATTAAACTCATGCACCTATTGACCCAATTGCTTTTCCAAATGCCCAAACCATTTCAACCAGCCTCAACCAGCTCCCAGATACACTCATCACCCATCTTTTCTTTATTCATAAGGCACATGAGCACATTGAAATGACTTTTCAGCAAATTCTGTGGTTACTTGCATTTAACACTTAGTAGTACGAAACGGTCATATCAGTGAAAACAATATTATTGTTGACAACCAGACTCATGTCTGATATTCTTGAAACAGTCCAGATAAACATTGTCATGTCCAGACCCCTCCATACATTCACTTTTTTCGGACTTGGGTCTGCCCCAATTAGTCTTGTTTATCGAGGTACGTACTACTGTATTATTATGATCACAGAAGTGTAACGTGATAAAAAAAATTAAGATAAGTGGATTGACTCCTAATTATTTAAAATTGTATAATTACCCTGCTTTAGTAATCATTAAACTGTGAATGAATTTTTATCCTTACAGGTTGTATGATATGCGAGCTCCACACAACTGCAACTCACAGGCAAACAATGTTTTAATCAACCTGCGATGCCACACTGGCAGAACTGCAGAGTGCAAGTGCATAACTGTTAACCCAACTCGTCCTGAATTAATTGCAGTAGGAGCCAGTGATCCATATATAAGAATATATGACAGAAGAATGATCAAATTAACCAGTTTACCCGTAAGTTAAAATCTGCTTTCTTAACCCTTTCACTGCATTTCACTCACTTGTCATTTTATTCTGGCTACCGCCAGACGATTTTATTCGGCTTAGGATAACCTCCCGCTGTAAAAGGGTTAATACTGCATAGTTATAAGATGACCATGTGTACCATGAGGTTAGACCAGGTGTACCATGCATTGTAGTTTGCTCACTATATACAGCCACTCCTCGACTTACGACCACCCGGACATACGACCGCCCCAGTCGTACCGAAATTTTTTCAAATTACGCATTTTTTAGTCCCGACGTTAGTGATTGCGCTGTGTACTGACCAAATTTTCGTTTGTAATTCCCTTTAAAATGGCTGGCAAGCTTAAATAGTGAGAGTTTTGTGGTGCTGTGAAGAAAAAGAGCACCCATTTTAGATTTTCTATGTACAGTACCTGTATTATTTTCGCATTTTCGACTTACGACCTGGATTTGGGTCCCTAACCCAGTCGTAAGTCGAGGAGTGGCTGTAATCTATTCCTACTCCTCATATATGGATATGAGTGTTGGTTCAGGATGATATAAATGTTCTGTAATTAACTTTATTCAGTTATTAAATTACTGTACCAGGATATTTACATAATATAGTGCCACCATCATTACAAAATTTCTCCAACTCTGGGACTGTACTGTTTTGTGAAGTGGTAACTACTGAGATGACTGTATTGTACTGTATTGCGCTGTACTCTACTGTATGTTAGGGTAGAAGATGGTCCATAACTCGGGGTCAAGTTTGAGCTAAATGCTGGAGTCCTTCCTGTTGATCTTTGTACTGTAGGCCCTTCAAATTCGTAGGGGTTAGGTTCTCAAAATGGCTGCGAATAACAAAGCACGGAGTGATCTTGAGGGTAGACTCAATATTTTTAATACATTTGCTTCTGGTTATTTGTGAGAGGATTTTCCCATTATTATTTATTTGTACAGTATGTGTTTTGTGTGTGTCCATACACATACACATGCATATATACAATACAGGTAAAGGAAATTACTGTCTCTAGAATGAATGGCTTCCTGTCCCAGCTGCGAAAATCTCAGCAACTTTAAAACTACCCTTAGATGTAGGTAGTAGGCAGCTACCAAACAGGGAGGTACTACTGCCTGGGAAGATATTGGAAGCATAATGTGTTGTCTAATGGTAGACCCTGCTGCCATATGGCATCACGAAAATTGTGACCAAGTCCCAGGTTGCTGATCTGACTTTCTGCTTCATTTACACACAATTGCAGGGTCTCAATTGTTTCTCTTACCATTGACAACACAACATACATATATCGTTTCTTACTTTTGATCTTTTTTTTCATTTTTGTATTTATAGTTCTTTATTATTATTATTATTATTATTATTATTATTATTATTATTATTATTATTATTATTACAGTTACTGTATTATATCATCATTATTTTATTATTTTATTTTGTTTGTTATATCATAAATTTTATTTATTATGAATTATTATGACTATTATTTATTATTATTATTATTATTATTATTATTATTATTATTATTATTATTATTATTAATAATATTAATATTACATTTTTGCCCCCCAGGCCCCGATGTGGGTCAGTGACCTGTGTCCGGGTGGGCTAATCCCTGTAAAAAAAAAAAGATTCTCGAGTACATCCAGGGTGTCATCCGCGAATTAAAAGTCCGCAAATTTGAAGGGCGTGCAGTATAAGTAATTATGTTGATATTTTGAAACCAGAAATGAGGTGTGTATGAAATTTCATAAGTTTATAGTTAAAAGATGACCAGAGGATTCAGTTGAGTGATGTCAGTGTAAACATAGTTTTTCAGCGTTGTCTTCCACGTACAGTAAAGTACTTTAGAAGTTGAAAGAGGGAACAGGTACAATGCCATGACTATTTCATATCTAAGATCTGATGTAGTTTTGTTAAGAACTGATGCACAACTGAAAAATCATCTTTTCATCATCATCAAGAAATAATATCTCCTTTAAGGTATTTAAGGATTAAAGTTTGGTTTTATTGCAGTTTCCTCCTGGAGGAATGCTACAGAGTCAGTGGGAGAGAACTAACTATGCTACCAACCAACTGGATCCTTCAACTGACAACTTACCCCCAGGCTGTGTTCAATACCTAGTACCGGGTAAGTGTGCACTTTTTCCTTATTTTAGAGTGACTTGTTCAGAACCTCACCTCATTGATCCTCTGTATAGAAGCGGTTGTAAATACTTTTGATGTAATTTTCCTACTGTCTCAAACATTTAGTGGAAGTTATATCATATTTATATAAACTATTTGCAACCCAGTGGGATTTTGCTTTATGACCAGTGTTGAGACTGTACACTATCAGTTCAAAGCTTGGAAATACTCAGTGACACAGTTGATGCACAGCAAGTGATGTTCATATCCACCGAGTCATCATGCCAATGGATTTTAACTTTTGTTTGAAATTTTTTGAAACTCTAATTCTCAAAATTGTTAGAATCTATAATTTTCACAGACATCATAGTTGAAACTCTAAATCTGAAACAATAAATTGTATCATATTAGTCAAAATAACTGAAACAGATTACCAGGCATTTAAATTAATAACCCCTAAAATTTAAACCTTGCCATTCTGCTCTACCCCAGAATTGCAGAACCTATAGACCATCCCTTGTAAAAATGATTCAGGTTAGCCTGGACATGGAAGCATACAGTATATACCGTAACTAATTTACTGCTAGACCTAAAAAGAGGAGAGTTAAAGCATGCCGGGTTTGTCATGTCACATGCTAATTAAACTTTAACATTGTTTATTGATGTGTTGGTGAGCTTTAGTACAAAACCACAAATCTTTCTGGTTACTCTCATCAGTTCATGTAGGAGGCTGTTTTACCATTTCCTGGTTAGACTGCACACTAACTCTTTTTTTTTCTGTCAAAGCAAAATTGTGTACAATATTGTTGTTACTGTATCAGTGAGGTACTAAACTCTTGTTGTTTGTTCCCCCAGGTCACTTGCCAGACAAGTTGAAGGAATATTATCGCCATTACCGGACATTAGCAACCAACTACCTGACTTACAGTGCAGATGGCACAGAGCTGCTGGCAAACCTGGGAGGGGAACATATCTACCTCTTCAACCCTTCTAATCCACAGTATCCCAGGCATTTCACTGCTGGCAATCCTTTAAAGCACCAGATTCATTCTAAAGGTTAGAAGAAAAAAAACTTATGCACACATTCAAACTTATCATCATAATCATCGTTTTAATGGCCATTATCCGCACGTGTGTGGGTTACCTGTGATTACCTGATGGCCATTCTTAGTGCTGCATGGTCTCATGCAGCCTTTCAGTCACGTGCTTAATTCAAATGACATTTACAACTGCTCCCCATGTCAGTCTTGGCCGGCCATTAGCTCCCCACCCCTCCACATAGACTCATGCACCTCTTGACCCAGTTGGTCTCATCCATTCTCTCTCACCTGCCTAAACTATCTCAGCCTGCCTCTATGCAAACTTTCCAAATACAGGTGTTGATCGTTATATGATTGATTGATATACGGTCGATCAGTTTTACTTTTATATTTTTACATGCATTTCTGGAGTATTGCCCAGTCATACTAGTGAAGGGTTCCAGGGAGCCATGGGAATAAAATATAAAATTATAAACTTGACACAATCCATGCTTATGAACGATTGCGATTGCAGACTCAGTCCCTCATTTCTATGTATTTTGCTTAGTTTACTCTGATGATGGCCAGTTTGGTTTTGGGTTTTTAATCTGTGTGTGGAGCTTCTGGATTTTCATAGTTGATATTGTCTTGTGTCATGTGGCACTTTCGCTGTGTTCTGAACTTGGCAAGGACATCCTAGCTGGAAAACTTGGTGACTTAAGGAAGGTGCTTAGCACCAGATGGCAACATAATGAAGGGATTCAGGTCATTATCTGCATAGTTAACTTATGGTCTGTTCTCCCTTAGGAAGGGCTTTTCTTACAGCACTTGGAACTTATTTCCAACACTCTCCATCATTCATAGCTGCCATATGTGTGTTTACTAACTTAAGGCAGTGTATCTTCAATATGTCCTTCAACTCCAAACTTTGCTTTGAGAATGACCTCTCATTCATCACCTCATTATTTAGAATTTGCTGTTAGATAATTTTTTATAAGATTAGCAAGTTATTTATTCTCACGCAATTTCAGATTCAGATGGACCTTCAAATGGTGTCTGTAAGTCAGTAACCTCAAATACCAATGGTATATCAAGCCACATTACTGGAGGACTAGACCGATTGCCTCCCTACTGTCACACACCAGTGCCTCCCCTTCCCCCTCAAGCAGAAACACTGAAGGCAGGGCTAACCAGGCATTTGCAGCTGAGAAATACATCACTGCCCTCCAGCTGTATAATCAGGCAGCGCAGATTAGTCCAAATTCTGCAGTTCTCTACAGTAATCGAGCTGCAGCACTTATGAAGAGAAAGTGGTGAGTACCATTAAACCATTTAATATATCTCGATAAAATCGCACAGAAAAAGGGGAACAATGGAGCACCTTAGCTTTGTCTGGATTCAAGATATTGTTCCCTTTTCCTGTGTGATTTTATCAAGTTTTATTCTGGCTCAAATTCCTTATGCTCCAACACAATAAAGTTCATTTTAGCATGTCATTGATAGGATGGTTACAACTATATGTCCATTGAGGGCATGCGGCTTATCCTTCTGTTTACATTGAGGGACGCTGAGTCTGACTTTCCCGAGTGAAAACTGTAAAGACTAAAATTAAATCTGTATTATTGAAGATACTACAGTATTTAAAAATATATTTTGCTTTCAACTTGGCATGCAATGCATGCCTTGCATTCATTAAGAATATGCCACTGCTGTATAGACAATGCAGTTTTGCAATGCACATAGACTATGGAGGTATATAGTTTCCAATGTACCTAGACAGTGCAGCTGTACAACAGTAGTAAACAGTAAAGCAGTTTGACTAAGGATAGACCACAAAGCTGTCAAGTGCTTATTTCCTGGAGGGTCCTTTGCTTAGGCTTACACTTGATCTGTAATCAGTAATAGTGAAAGCTTATTGATAAATAAAACAAGCATTACATTGCTCTTGAACTATCTGAGGCTGACAGATCACTTTAACAACACGGTACAACGTTCTGTGATTAACCCCTTTTCTATGAGGGGTCTCTGTGCTGAATAAAATCATCTGGCATCAGCCAAACGAAATATTAAAAGTGGTATTCTGTAGTCAAGGGGTTAATAATATAGAAACTCGCTCTCTAGTGCCCTGCTGGTTCATATCCCTAACCCTTACTAAGTTAAATATTAGATACAGTAATACCCCGCTTTACACGGTCAATTGAACCCACGGAGGCCCGCGTAAAGCGGGAAACGCGTAAATGGAACAACAGAACATATGGGATTAATTGAAATAGAGACTGGGCCGACCCCCAAACTCCACTTTTTCAGACACAATACCTACGTTGTAGTAAAAATAACATCTTAATTTTATGATGGTATGCACACAAAATTAATAATTAAAAGAAAAATCAATAATATTAGGTTTTTTAACACTTACATTAGTAGAAAAGATGGCTGGGCACACGGGATGGAGGGTTGGTTCCGAGGCAGAGGGCAGATTATTGGCCCTCACCTGTATCACTTGTATCAATTGTGTCACTATCCACCACAGAGGCTTGCAGGGCCTCTGTCAAACCCCTCAAAGTCCATATAAGTCCATATCCTCAGTGTCACTGACTTGGGCCGGCTGTGGTGGGTGGCGGGTGAAGAAGTCGGTAATGTTTTGATGACTGGGCGACCTTGTGTGCACCCTGCCCGCGCCGCTTCCCGCGTATATGAGTAGATGCACCGTGTAAAGTGGGAATTCCGGTTCTGGCGGGGTACCGCGTAAACGAGAGCCGCTTAAAGCGGGGTATTACTGTACTCTGTGCACAGTCCGGTGAAAATCCTGTAAGAGTGATTCAGCCTCAGTTGCTTCACTCTGTCTGCCACACTTAACATGGTCAGTGATTGTAGCAATTCATGACCAATGTAGTCACATGCATTCATGTATAAATAGAAGTTCTAAACTTAGAATAATGACACCAGGAAGTGTTGAAATCTTTAATTGTATTACGATAGTAATAATTTCATGCCGCCTTAAAGTGACAAATTTGGAACTGAATAGTGAGGCTATTAAATGTACTCTTTCAGGGAAGGTGATATATATGCTGCTCTGAGGGATTGTTTTACAGCATTAGACATTGATCCACACCACGTCAAGGCTCACTTTAGGTAAGTGGTGTAAGCCATCATGGAGCAGTTTAGATCCAGTTTCTTTATGTTTGATGTATTAAAATATTCCCTTTCTGGGATTTAGATTCAGATTTTATTATTACATTTTGTCTCATGTATCTGTGCACTGTGTCAATAAATGAATTATCAATGATAGTTTAAGAGTCTTAAGATAGAAATTTATGTATTCATTAATTCCTTGTGTATGAGGTCGCCTCTGAGCTGAATAAAATGGTCTGGCGTTAGTCAAATAAAATATTAAAAGTGGCTTCCCCATAATGAAGGGTTAAGATGATTTATTTGAAGTGATGGGAAGTGCCGCATCGGTTATTTACATTAAATAGACAATAACATTTTCATGTGTTCAAAGGATCAAGCATGTTGCATCAGGAGAGAATTAAACGAGTCACTTCAGTTTGTGTGTGTAGTCAATACTTTTTTCTTTGTTCAATATAGAAACCAAGCCAGACTACCTAAGAGCCTGCTACAATAATTGTGATCACTATTGTTATGATACTTAAGGCTTTAGACTTACAATTTCACGTTATTCCCCAAAATAATTTCAATATATTCTATATCTGGTGTAATCAATAAACAAAATTTATATATACATATTCAGATAATATCACAAATAGTACAAAAATAAAATTACTATACCAATACAATATGTCCGATGGCTCTTTAAGTTTTTAGGCTTATCCGCCCATTTAATTAATATAATATTTTGGGGGGTTTCCCATCGCATCCAAAGGGTTAAGGCTTTAGACTTACAATTTTTGTCATTTTCCGCCAAAAAATGGATTTTGTTCAAAATTTCAGTATAGGTACTCCTGAATGTGCTGCTTAAGGATCTGTTAACCAAAATTTGATATCTTGATTATAACTTGTTCAAATGGCTTTTAGAAAAATGTTCAAATGATTTTTAGAATATTTTAATTACTTTGCAATGCTAATTACTCGCCACTATGGGTTTTCGAGGCATTTCTTGGTGCTTGTGTATTATTCTGATGTACTTAAATAGTTAGGCACATTAAATTTTAGTTCAGAGAGAAAAATGTATTTGGCCAAAAATCCTTTTAAGGCTTTTAGACTTACAATTTTGGTCAATTTCCGCCAAAATGGATTTTGTTCAAAAATTTCAGTATAGGTACTCCTGAATGTGCTGCTTAAGGATCTGTTAACCAAAATTTGATATCTTGATTATAACTTGTTCAAATGGCTTTTAGATAATGTTCAAATGATTTTTAGAATATTTTAATTACTTTTGCAATGCTAATTAATCGCCACTTATGGGTTTTCGAGGTCATTTCTTGGTGCTTGTGTATTATTCTGGATGTACTTAAATAGTTAGGCACATTAAATTCTAGTTCAGAGAGAAAACGTATTCTTGGCCAAAAATCCTTTAAGGCTTTAGACTTACAATTTTTGTCATTTTCCGCCAAAAAATGGATTTTGTTCAAAATTTCAGTATAGGTACTCCTGAATGTGCTGCTTAAGGATCTGTTAACAAAAATTTGATATCTTGATTATAACTTGTTCAAATGGCTTTTAGAAAATGTTCAAATGATTTTTAGAATATTTTAATTACTTTTGCAATGCTAATTACTCTCCACTTATGGGTTTTCGAGGTCATTTCTGGTGCTTGTGTATTATTCTGATGTACTAAATAGTTAGGCACATTAAATTTTAGTTCAGAGAGAAAACGTATTTTTGGCCAAAAAATTGTTTAAGGCTTTAGACTTTACAATTTTTGTCATTTTCCAAAATGGATTTGTTCAAAATTTCAGTATAGGTACTCCTGAATGTGCTGTTTAAGGATCTGTTAACCAAAATTTGATATCTTGATTATAACTTGTTCAAATGGCTTTTAGATAATGTTCAAATGATTTTTAGAATATTTTAATTACTTTTGCAATGCTAATTACTCGCCACTTATGGGTTTTCGAGGTCATTTCTTGGTGCTTGTGTATTATTCTGGATGTACTTAAATAGTTAGGCACATTAAATTTTAGTTCAGAGAGAAAACGTATTTTTGGCCAAAAATCCTTTAAGGCTATAGACTTACAATTTTCGTCATTTCGGCCAAAAAATGGATTTTGTTCAAAATTTCAGTATAGGTACTCCTGAATGTGCTGCTTAAGGATCTGTTAACAAAAATTTGATATCTTGATTATAACTTGTTCAAATGGCTTTTAGAAAATGTTCAAATGATTTTTAGAATATTTTAATTACTTTTACAATGCTAATTACTCGCCACTTATGGGTTTTCGAGGTCATTTCTTGGTGCTTGTGTATTATTCTGGATGTACTTAAATAATTAGGCACATTAAATTTTAGTTCAGAGAGAAAAAGTATTTTTTGGCCAAAAATCCTTTAAGGCTATAGACTTACAATTTTTGTCATTTTCGGCCAAAAAATGGATTTTGTTCAAAATATCAGTATAGGTACTCCTGAATGTGCTGATTAAGGATCTGTTAACCAAAATTTGATATCTTGATTATAACTTGTTCAAATGGCTTTTAGAAAATGTTCA